CCCAGACCAAAATAAGTGACTGCAGATTTGTTAATGGATGTTTGGATTATATGGAATTTATATGTTGGAAGAGCATGATGCTGTTAATAAAGTTACTTTTATTCTTTTTGCTATTAACGAAGTTGTTTATCTTAATCTTGCATTCTTCAAAATTGTTACTCTTTTGACATTATTTTTCAATTGAAATGTACATATTCTTGATGTACAACATATTTGAAAGCCATAAGTAAGAAAGCATTGAGGAATTTTTATGCTATTACGTCAAATGAGAAGTTTGGCAAGGACAAAAGAGATGTTCTGCCCTATTTATTGCAGGTTTACCTAACAAATCTGGAGGCTAATCCAGAGCTGTAGCCGCCATAGTACCAGTTTTATATGTAATACTTGATTTCTGAAACCGAGGATAGGTAATCCAACACAAAAATTGTGTATTGTGTTCTGTCACTTTGAAGGAAAGAAGGATGTTATCTATGTCCCACTTAGGGATGGCAACTTTCTCCTGTATTGTTTATTTTAATTTTTACTTGTTTTGTTTTTCGTTTATATTTTTCTTATTTCTGGTAAAAATTATTATCACTACTATTATTTTTCAATCTGTTAAGAACAATTCATGTTTCATTTAAAAATGATGATAATTCTTTTCTTTTTGTTCGATAAAAAATCTTAAATTTGAGATTAACTTTATCCGAGGCGGGAACCATGTTGTTCATAACTGCTTCAAGGCAACGAGTCTTGTCCCATTTACTCGTCTTGTTCGAGGTGAGGTCTTGTCGATATTGGGTTAAACGAATATTTTTTTGCAATCCCTAGTTCCACTCGAATACTCTTATCCAATATTAAGCTAGACCATCGGATATCTCCAAATCTTTGAAGGCATCAAATGAATTTGCCAAAACTAATTCAGATGAGGATGATGATACCTCTTGTTTATTGGAGGAATTTTGTAAATAGTGACGTCAAAATAAATATAAAGATGGTTTGTAAATTCGTGTCGAAAATTGGACAGAGTAACGGCAAAGAAAACACAAACAAGAAGAAGAAGAAAGTAGGGACAAAGTTGAGGCAAGAGTTGGACTCTTTGTCCTTAAGTCGAATTTACCTCTCAATGGTGCCTACGGATTTCGGCAATCGACTCCCAAGATACAACGGCTACACTTGTGTTTGTAGCACTCCAAAACACAAGTACAACGAACCAAATTTAGGCTTATGTACTTCAAGGATGAAATGAAGGAAAATCAAAATAAATGAAATGATTTTGATTTTGGATAGAAGAGAGGATAAGAGATGTTTTGCATATCAAATTGTGAGGAATAGGACACCCAAAGGGTCCTATTTATAGACCATAAAAGGGTGTGGACGAAATGGTAGAGGCCAAACTATGCACCCTTTCCAAACAATGCACCTTTATGAAAAGGTGTCTATTCACCGGACAACCGTGCGGTCGCACGGTCAAATATTTTGACCTGATTTTCGTCCTTTTTCGTAATTTCTCATTCATCCGATATTGGTTTTTGAAATGCCAAATATACCCTTCAATACATGCAGAGAAATCAAAATTCTCCTTCGGGGGCGTTGCCCCCGAGCCCCCACGGGGGCGCTGCCCCCTCGACCCCCCGCGACCTGACCGGGCAGGTTGATCCCCGTTTGTGCGCCCTGAAGCGGCGAAGTGGCAAACAATTTTGCCTAAACGGATTGAGTCGAGTTTTTGAGTATTTGCCCGAAGTCGATACGAAATCACTTTAATCGATTTTCAATTCTCGATTTATTTAGCCAATATCCAACATTGCTCTCATAATTGGACCTATTATCTATAGGCCGAACGAATTGAGGAAATCAAAACAGGCAAAAGAAAATTGGAAAGCGGGTAGTCCGAACACTTAGATTTTTTTTTTTTGTCTTCCTTTATTTTCGGTTTATGTTTGTTAACCCAATATCGAACAAGGTGTCCTCAAATGAGATTTTGATGGACTTCAAAAATTCTTCTAAATTTAGAAGTTCAGATTTTGATGGAAACCTAAGTGTCATTAATTGAGATTTTAATGAAATCTTATAAAATTTAAGTATTCTCAATAATTTATGAATTTATAAGAATTTCATTAATGGAAGAATTTTAAAAGATTTAATAAATAGAAGAATGTTAAAAAATTTGGATAAATTTCAAGTTTATAAATACATATAATAAACTTTTTGAAATTTCACCATTTTTAATGAAATTCTAATGAATTTTGTGGAACTCTTTCGAATTGTATGTATCAAAATTTTAATTGAGGATACCCCCCTAAGTGAAATTTTATTGGGTCACTTAACTTTTCGAGGATGTCTTCAATTGAGATTTTGATGGATTTTAGAAATATTTTAAATTCAAGTGTCTTCAATTGAAAATTTTATTGAATTTCATTGAAATCCATTAAAATCTAGGTGTCCCTAATTGAGATTTCGATGAATTTAAATAAAATCCTTTAAAATCTAGATATCCTTATAACTAATGGATTTATAAGGATTCATTAATAGTGATATTTTAAAAGTTTTGGATGAGTTTAAAGCTTAAAATACATGTAACAAACTCTTTTGAAAATTTACAATTTCTACCCCCCATTTCTTATCCATTCTTTCAAAGAACTTTTTTTTCGTATTCATTTTCAACCACACATTTTTAATATAAAATATTTTTCACGTAAATCCAAAATTTTTCCTCCTTTTAATCATACATTCTTCAAAAAATTACTATTCAAAAACTCGTTCTTTACAAAAAAATGGCTGTCAAACGGGGACCTAACGAGATTCTTATGGATTTTGTTTAAATCTAATCAAATGCACGAAATTCATCATAACTTATAATCTTTTAAAATCCATTATTTTTTATTTTTTTGAATTTAATACATGATTGACAATTTTTTAAAATTTTAAGCACTTATATGTGCATATGTGCTTATTAAGTGATTTGTTGGATAAAAAAGTATATGTTTGACCAGTTTAAATTAAAATTTAAGTTTGTCAAATTAGTTTTAAATTCACTATCCTGTTATGTTATAATTGATAAAAAATGTTTAATTAGCAGTCTTATCCCAATAGTTATTTTAAATAATCGTTTCGTCCCATGTCAATTTATCACGACATCATATCATAAAAGTATTAAAATTAAAAAAAAAATGTATTTTAACATTTTAATCTAAAATCATTGTCATAATCATCGTGTAACAATTATGTGGAAGATGAACTTTGGTATGGCTGCTATTTTTTTATATAGGTGGCTTGGTGATGCTTATGAATGGAATTTAAAGCCATGATTAAATATTAATTTTTTCAAAAAAGAAATAAATAAATAAAAATGTATTATTATTTTTCAACATCTTCAATGCTTTTGGATTATTTTCTTTGCCAGATGAATGGTGGCAGAAGACAGATTCCTATGTGTCTGAAAATAATTTGATGGAAAAAATGACTATATTTTAAACAATTCAATGATAAAGTACGATATGATATTATGTCAATTATAATATCAATGATAACAGGGATGTTCTCAACTAAAATTTTAATGAATTTTAAATAATTATAAATTCTAATAAATTTTGTAGATTTGAATAGATTCTTACAAATTTAATAAGAATCTCATTAAATATGGTGAAATTTCCAAAAAATTTACTTATATGTATTTTTAAGCTTGAAATACATCCAAATCTTTTAAAATCCCTCTATTAATGAAATCTTTATAAATCCATTAATTATTGAGGATACCTAAATTTTAAAGAATTTCATTAATATCTCAATTGGGAACACCTAACTTTTAATGGATTTCATTAAAATCCAATAAAATCTCAATTGAGGATACCTAAATTTGGAATAACTTTTAAAATCCATCACAATCTCAATTGAGGACACCCTGTAGCATGATCTTGTTTTTTTTTTTTTTTTTTTTTTTTTTTTTTTTTTTCTCTCTCTCTTCCATGCTCTCATTTTCCCATTGTATTCACGTTTCTTTTTCACGAAAAGACGATAAACCTATAATCAAATAGTTAGCCTATTATTAATGACTTTCAATATTTATTATTATTATTTTTTTTGTGCCTTTATCATGAGCATTTGGGCACGGTAACATCTTTTTATTTTATTTTATTTTTTTTGGTGAGGTTATTTTGACATGATTTCAATTATTTTATTTGCTTAAGTGCGTGATAGTTTGATGATTATATACAAAAACAAGTGTTTTATTATGAAAATTGTATGGAAAACTTTCTAAAGGTTATAAAAGTTTATGAAAATATATACAAGTCTTTAAATATGAAAGTTTATGAAAACTCTTCATAATTCTGGAGAATATATATAAAGATCAATAAAAATTTATGAATCTTACCATAATAATAATCGAATGACTAAATTAAATAAATCTTTTAATTTTATATTATCATTATATTTTAATTTTTTGCACCACATTTGTATTACATTTCAATTTTTGTTCATAATAATATTCACGTTCTCTACCTTTTTTGTCGCACTCTTATCCCATTAATTAGGATATCTCGTTTTAATAATCAATTTCATCCCAAAAGCTTATTGGGATGACGTAGAATGAATTATTTTGTCATTTCCTTTTCAAAAATATGATAAATACAAAAATATGATAAATTTTTTTTCGTCATGTCAATGTAGGCAAACAGAATAGTTTGATACAAATCATCATAAATGATGAGATGTACTAATGGATGAAAAATTAAAGATAACAATTCATTGATGAAAGGAATTTTGTGTTAAGAAATTTAACAGATGCAATGACATAATTTGAGGTAGCAGCAAATGTTTTGATGAAAATACTAATTGTTTTTAACTTTCAAATAGTCCAACGATAAAATATCATGTGATATTATGTCAAAACATTTGACACTGCATCATGATTCATTTAACCCAAAATCTCGACTATAAATTAAAGAGAGAAAATTCATTGAAATCGGCCAAATCGACCTGACCATCCCCATTCGAATCGATTTGGGTCATTATACTTTCAAATAGGATTTTATTTTGAATGATCGATTTGATAGCCCAACTAACTGGTGCTAAATCCTATTAAGCCCCTGTTTGGCCCCCATTACGGGGAAAATTTAATGTATAGAATAGTGTTTTTTGAAAAATGAGTGGTTGAAAAAGAAAGAAAAATTTTCGATTTACGTGTAATATTATTTTATGAAAGATTGTGTGGTTAAAAATAGGAGAGAGAAAAATGTAATGTAATGTAATGAAAATCAAACAAGGGCTAAATAGGACAAATAGTTCTGTATTTCACCCAACATTTCGTGGTGGTTCGAGTCACACACGCGAATTGGGAAAACTCTACAAGTACAATTTTTTTTAACAGAATTGGTACAGAAAGATAGCTATAACAACAACTAATAGGAAGATAAGCTATATTTTTGTATAACTCTGTAGAAAAAATCTATATTTATAGGATTATTCCGCGAACTGTGAGTACTACAAACGAGTAGTCATAGTCCATGACGTAATAGGGTAATTGAATTAACCAACTTTATTCAAAAAGGCCCAGATTTTCAAGACTCTCACGCTCAAGCCAACTTTTCGCTCCCTATACCTATACCTTGTGCCGCTGGAAAATTCGTTTCGATCTCGCCGATTATGCCCGGCAAGTGCTGATCAAAGTAATCAGATTTGAATATTCTCATCCGTTATTTATAAATACTCGCACATGTATTGATAAAGGAACAGATGAATCGAGGATGGGGGATTATATGAGCGGCAGTGAAGAGGATTATTATTACTCCTCCGACCAAGAATCGATCGACCGGTTCGAGAATGAAGACTCTGAAACTCAATGGGCCCCACCTAAAGCCCCTTCCTGCAAGGTATATACATGCAATTTTTAGTACGAAAGATGAATGCTTATCGATTATGTCTTTTGTTTTGTCTTTTTTAAAGCTCATTATTAAGAGCCCAAAGAATTGTATGTATATTCGAGTTAATTGTTTTCCACTTTATCATCAGTATTTATTTATTTTTGAAAACAGTATATCAATATTCACCTTAAAGTTGGAAATCGAATTTTTGGATGACTTTTGAATCTAACTTTTTAAGGAGATTCTGTAGTTTCGAAAGGTTATAGCTACTGAGTTTGGGTTTGTTGAAAAAGTTCGGTTCTTTGATGGGATATGTGAATTTGCAAGAAGACTGTTAACCTTATCCCCACCTTACATATTTCCTCTTTATTACGTGTATTTTTTATGGTTTCTGTGATTACATGTATATCTTCACCTTAAAGTTGGAAATTGGGATTTTTGGGTCACTTGTGATATCTATCTTTTTAAGGAAATTATGCAGTTATGAACGGTTATAGGTACTGAATTTTGGCTTGTTTGTATAAGTTGAAAATGTATTGTTCTTTAGATGGTTCAAGCGAGTTTGTGAAGAAGACTGTTAATCTTAACCTCACATTAATTATTTCCCCCTCTGTCAAGCGTATTTTTTAATTTTACTTTTAGCTTTTGTGATAACATGTCAATCTTCAACTTCAAAGTTGGAAATTTTGGATTGTATGGTGACTTCTGATGGGTTTTGAAGGATTATGGGGACTGAATTTTGGTTTGTTTTGAGGACGTTTGGTTCTCTTGACGGGTCTAGCGAGTTTGTGAAGTAGACTGTTAATATTTTCCTCACCATAATTATTTTTATCTCTAGCCTGTGTATATTTTGGTGATAACATGTCAATCTTCATCTTAAAGTTACAAATTTTGAATTTTAGGGTGACTTGTGATACCTACATTTTTAAGGCAATCCTGCAGTTTTGAATGGTTATAGGTACTGAATTTTGGATTGTTTTGAGAAAAGTTGTTCTTTCGATGGGTTAAGAGTGTGCACAGACGTTGGCTAGTCTTACATATTTATGTGAGTTAATAAATTATTTTATTAATTTTTCTTTTTTGTTCTGAGTGTGCAGCTTCATCTTTTGGCCTGACTGCTTTGTTGTTAAAGCCTGAACGAAATGTTTTTAACCAATGAAACCATGGTTATGTTCACTACCAGAATACTTTTAAGACATGAGTCTTGGGTTATTTTACTTGCCAATTTTTATTGGAACTCTAGGTTTACTGCATGTTGTGAGATCAACTGGTTTATCTTTAGGTTTTTTCTACTTATTTTCTGACCATTGTTTTACCTTTGCAGGTAATCACGAAAGATTCTCTCTTGGATGCACAGGTAAAAAGAAGAAGTCATGTTTCTGTTTCCATGTTCAGTATTTACATCATGTGTTTGTTGTTCTGGAAACTAAATGATGTGTTCAAGGTACTGAAGAAATTTTCCTCATTCATGCAGAGGGAAGATTTGCTAAGAGTAATGGACTTGATGTCCGTTAGAGAACACCATGCCAGAACTCTTCTCATTCATTACCGCTGGGATGTTGAGAAGTTAATTGCTGTTTATGTGGAAAAGGGGAAAGCTTGCATGTTTGCTGAAGCAGGTGTAACTCTAGTTGGAGCTGTTGACCATGATTTACCAGAATCGTTGTCTACAGTTATGTGTGATATATGTATTGATGATGTGCCTGTTAGCGATGTGAGCAAAATGGACTGTGGCCATTGCTTTTGCAACGACTGTAAGCACCCTTGAGTTTGATTTTGTTCTAGGCATCTATACTGCTATAAGGAAAATATAATCCGTTACATAGAAGGGCTTTGCTATTCGTCTATATGGTTTTGACATGCATCATAAACTTGAAGGAACTTTCATTTCTGCAAGTGTTACCTTGTCTAATCACATGAAGTTTGTTTATGGGGTTAAATTCCATTTACGGTAACTATATTTTCATTGTAGTAGCAAACTATACTTTAATTTTGTTCAATCACATAACTACACTTGAATATGATTTCTTGCTGATAACTGCAGTTTATTTTAATTTTCATTAAGGTAACTTTGTCAGATTTCGTTGAAGGAAATCGGTGCCGCTGTAGTAAATAAATAACGTTTATCACGCGTAACTGTTGGTTGCCAACCTGGAATAAGTATATATTTAGTGAAATAAATGATGTCTATCAATCGATTTCCATTGGTCCAAGTGACGGAATTGGACAGAGTAACTCAAATGAAGTTAAAATATACTTACTCGATTGAACAAATTTGAAGTACATTTACCTGAATGACACTACAGTGAATTATAGTTACCGTGAATGGAATTTACTCTTTTGTTTTGCTATTTTATTTTTTAAAGTGTAAAATGCGGAACTGCTTAAGTTCTTTTTTTGACATATGTCATGTTCAGGTTGGACAAAACATTTCATTGTCAAAATAAATGAGGGCCAGAGCAAGCAGATTAGGTGCATGGCCCATAAATGCATTGCTATATGTGATGAAGCTGTTGTCAGAAAACTAGTTAGTAAAAGACACCCTGATTTAGCAGATAAATTTGATCGGTTTCTTTTTGAATCATAAATTGAAGATAACAAAATGGTTAAATGGTGCCCAAGTATACCTCATTGTGGGAACGCCTTACGGGTAGAAAATGATGAATTTTGTCAGGTAGAATGTTCCTGTGGTTCACAGTTTTGTTTCAGTTGCTTATCAGAAGCCCATTCCCCTTGTTCATGCTTGATGTGGAAACTGTGGACAAAGAAATGTCGAGATGAATCAGAGACGGTTAATTGGATCACTGTACATACAAAGCCTTGTCCGAGGTGTCACAAACCTGTGGAGAAGAATGGTGGCTGTAATTTGGTTAGTTGCATCTGTGGGCAAGCATTTTGGTAAGAGCACTTCTTTTTATGAACCTTTCTTGTTTGTGCTGCTGCTATTTTATCCTATGAACCCTTCTTGTTTGCGCTACTTAATGCTCATTGGCATTACCTGCTTATGGGGAAGCATCCTCTATCCAATTGATGTGATGCTTGTATAAATTCAAGTTTAGTATAATGCCCTTAGATCAGTAGACATGTTCCCGTGCATTTGAATTCGGTACTTGTCCTGGGCTTTATATATTATATTTTCATTTTTCTATTCTTTTGATGTTTTTCCCCTTATCTGGGGAATTTTTGTTCTGTTTTTTGTATGTAGGGTCATTGGGGTGGGGTGGG